AAAGACTCGTGTAGCTTTAGTCTGCCCTGATACAACGCCTGCATTGCCACAGTCTAGTACTGAAACGGCACAGGCAATACCAGAAGGACAGAATTCTACACCTGCATCAACTGTAGGCCAGTGTGTGAAACACATCAAGCCTAAAAGGAAACGTTCAAGACGTCATAAGACCTCGAAGGCGTCATCAAGGAAAGGGGATGAATGCCAGGCGTGCAGCATCACAGTTTCTAAAACTGATTCAGCGTTTGAATGTAATTTTTGCAAACGATGGGTGCACTGCCGTTGTGACAAAGAAGTACCGAAAGCATACTATGAGTTTATGAGAAATAACCCATGCCCATGGTTTTGGTACGTGTGTCCACTTTGTCGCCCTGGCATAGTCCCACAAAGCGTGTCTGCGGATAGCAGAAACAACATGCTCTTGTGCCCCAACACAGTATCATGCAGCTCCCCCTGCTAAACTCGCACTGCCGAAACTGGTCAAAGACTTAAAGAAGGACACACCAGCCCTACTGACTGGAAATGCCAATTCTCACAAGGTGAAGATTAGCAAGGTTCCATCCACATCAGGGAAGGCAAAATTACAAAGGCACCACTTGCATCCACTAGCAAGCCTGGCAACACAAAAAAGGCTGTCCAGGTACCGATGAAGCCTAATGTTGCTAATGATGCAAAGGACTGCAAGAAGCCGAAGGCAAAACCTAAGTCTGAGGGTAGTCGGTCTAACTCTCTCATCCTCTTTAACGTACCTGTGAGCACGGATAGCTTGCTCGAACAACGGGCCCTGTTTGATCAGGAACAGTGGTCCAACCTGTGCGCAAACTAGGTCTGAACATTAGTTCAGCAAAACTGTGCAGACTGTACAGGGGTGTCCACACGCCTCAGGGTAAGCCACCCCCATTACGGGTTACACTGGACTCTGCCGAAGAGGCCGAAAAAGTACTGTTAATGGCTCAGGTACTAGCCCTGGACAGAAGTTCTAACATAAGAGCGCGGCAAGATAGACCATGGGCTAAGAAATATGGCGAGGGAGTCACCGGAACTGATGCCTTCCACCTCTATGGTGGTACACGGTGTTCCGGAGCTGGAAACCGGCACTGCTTGTGAAAAACACATGCACGACGTACAACAATGGAGATGGCTGTCATCTCAGATGGCCCCTGGCGCTTCTGGAGCCATCTCCATTTTCCGACTACCTCGTCCCGCTCATCTAACATTGATTAACTCTCCAAAGCTGCTGTGTGTCACATTCAACTCCCCGGAGCAGTTGTCCATATCACTTCAACGGTGGTATGAGACCAAGGGAAAAATTGGAGGACACATCCGATGCTGTGAAAGCAGACCCAGAAATATAAGGAGGCAGCAAACTGAGGCTTTAATACGACCCCAAGCTTCGGTGACACTAGAGCGATGCAGCTCTGAGAATAATAGTCTGTGTCTCCCAAGTGTCCTGCCTAAATCCATTGAAAAAAACTACAACGGGCCGGTTCTATCGGAATCGGCCAACTAGTTCCAACATCAAGTCCCCCACCAGCAGACGGTTTCACGTCAACTACCCCACAACACTCTGAGGTTGTTAGACTCACTGTCAGTTGCCTATATAGCAATGTGAGGGGGCTGAGAGGGAAAGTAGGTGAACTCCGAAATCTCCAAGCACACCTTCAACTGAAAATAATCATTCTTACTGAAACGTGGCTAAACCCCACTATCGCCGACAATGAAATCAGTATAGGTGATATGGTACTGGTCAGAAGAGACAGGGATAATAAGGAAGGAGGGGGAGTTGCTATATACTTTGATAGGCAACTTAAATGTGTGCGCGCAACGGACCCACCACTTATCGAACTCCCAGACTCCATATGGTGTCATTTCACCGTAGGCCACACCAAGCACTTACTGGGTGGCATCTACCGATCTCCCACCTGTGGGGCAGAGCACAATCAGCTACTGCTCAGCACTATCACAGGAATACGAGATTTGGGCTACGACCAAATCACCATAGCTGGAGATTTCAATGCTCCATCACTGAACCTCGGCTCCGGGTGTGCTAAGGGAAAATTTGGCCGAAACCTACTGCAAACTATTCGAAACACGGGACTGACTGAGAATGTTGGAGACGACACTAGGTGGGGCCCTAGTGGAAAGTCATCAAAACTAGATTATATTCTAACTAGTGACCAGCTACTCGTCGAAAAGGTCCAGATCATGACTCCTCTGGGAAGCAGTGACCATGCAGTCATAGGTTTCGATCTTGTCCTCCGTGAGCGTTTGCAATGGGATGTTACGCGACCATGTCTGTGCTACAGCAAGGCTGACTATGCTGAAATGCGGAGGCTCTTGTCCGACGCAGACTGGCCCTTAGCATGGGACGACCTATCTGTGGATGAACACTGGGAAGTGGTAAAAAAGATTATCCATACAGCAATCTCGGATACCGTCCCTTTAGTCACAACACAGCCTAAGAGAAAGACGTCATGGTTGAAGAGAGGCACGCAACGTATTCTGCAAGCAAAGCGGAAGGCTTGGTTTACGTGGCGTGTATCTAAGAGTCAGACCGACCATGATGCATACCTCGAACTCAGGAACCGGTGTAATGCAAGAGTCAGGAGGGACAGAAGGTCATTCCAGGCTAACCTTGCTAAAAAACTCCTATCAAACCCTAAAAACTTGTACCGATTCATGTCGGAAAGAAAACCGACAAACCAAGGGGCATGCGCCTTAGTAGGCCCAAACGGTCAATATCTCACTAGTCTGGAGATGGCTGAAACATTCAGTTCAGCCTTCGCTAAACAGCTAAACAGCAATGTGGATATTACAGTTACGGACCAAAATGGTGGCACCACTATTTCAGAGGAGGAAGACCTAGCGACTACTCCCCAAATAAACCCCGCAATAGTACTAAGGAAGCTACAGCGACTCATACCTGGGAAGTCCCCAGGTTGTGATGACATCAGGCCATCTGTTCTGAAACAGTGCGCCGAGGCTCTCTGTAGACCCCTGTGCGACTTGTTCCAACACTCAATGGATTCGGGGACCCTGCCAAGGGAGTGGAAAAGAGCCATCCTTTCTCCAATCTTCAAGGGTGGGGACAGGCAAAACGCTGCTAGCTATAGACCAGTAGCTCTACTCCCAGTGGTATCAAAAGTACTGGAAAGTATTATTGACGACCACATCAGGGAATATTTCGATAGGACTAATATACTACATGAAGCCCAACATGGTTTCAGAAAAGGCAGATCCTGCGTCACTAACCTACTGTCAGCTTGGGACGACTGGACATCATGCTGGGACTTGAACGTACCAGTCCATGTGGTCTTCCTAGACTTTGAGAAGGCATTTGACACTGTTCACCATGACCTTCTCCTACATAAAATAAGCCAGGCAGGCATAGGTGAGCCACTTCTGTCATGGTTGAAGGACTACCTAGCCGACAGGCAATTTTGCACTAAGGTTAACCGAGTCCGATCATCTTGGCACAGATCGTCATCAGGAGTGTCGCAGGGTTCTATCCTAGGACCACTGATGTTTTTGATTTTCATCAATGATCTACCACGCCGTCTGAGCTGCCCGACTCTCCTGTACGCTGACGACGTAAAAATATGGAGGGCGATAAAGTGTCCGGAGGACTCAGATAGGCTACAGGAAGACCTAAACCTTCTGGAAGACTGGGCGGTGGCCAGTGGCATGACTTTCAACTTGAAAAAGTGCAAAGTAGTGAAGTTGCGCACCTGTAGACTGCAGAATGCAAGTTACACCCTGTGCAATGAAAGCTTGTCCTGCACAACGTCGGAACGCGACTTAGGTCTAGTTCTAACGGAAAAAATGGACACAAGCGTAAATTACACAGGGGATGTAGCGAGGGCATATGCGGTCATACACTTTACGCATAGACAGTTAGGTGCACTCACTCCTGAGCTCTTTCTAATGTTGTACAAAACATACGTCAGGCCACACCTTGAGGTGCATAATATTATTGCACCCCCAATGCTGAGAAGAGATGCCAACCTCTTGGAAAGAGTCCAACGACGGGCAACAAAAGGAGTGGTTGGTCTCCGAAACAAACCATATGATGAAAGGCTGAAGAAATTAGGCCTGTTCACACTTAGTTACCGTCGGCTTAGGGGGGATTTGATTACTGCCTACAAAATAACAAATGACCAGAATCACCCAAACAAAGGTGTTCTGCCATTGAGTAGGTATAGGCTTCCACGTGGAAATCCCAGAAGGATAGCTCACCAGAGGGCAAGGACCCGGGTGCGCTCCCACTTCTTTTCACTGCGGGTTTGTCGTCCCTGGAATTCCTTACCGGCAGATGTAGCTATGGCACCGTCTTTGGACGCCTTTAAGCGAAGGCTGGACAACCATGCAGCGATACAAGGACTGCATCCAAATGGCCTATCTCCTTAAAATCGCATTTACCAATCAGGGTAGATAATTAAACTCGTCGTTTTACTTCTTTACATTCTCTCCCGCCTTACTCTCCTATTATATTATTATATTATTCTTCAAACTTAATGAGCTGACTGTTGTTACGTTTCCTATTTCCGTTTCTGTCTCTTAGTCTGAATAGCCTCACTAATTATATCTATTATTATTATTATTACTATTATTATTATTATTACTACCTCTTTTCTCTTGTCGACGACACCGAAGGACTAACTGGCGAAAGGATCAACTCCAATCACAGTAATAACAGTCTTAACATACCTCGTACTACAAACCACATATAATTAATCCCAGCACTACTCCCTTTGGAGTCAACCAAAGCTACGACAGTCGAGTGGCAGGACAAGCTACGCAGAAGTTTACCGAAGATCAGGAACCTATACCTCACAGTCAAGAAGCGAGCACAAAGAAATCAAATTGGTTTATACTAGTTCCATTATGGGTAAATTTTGTTTTGATAAAGTCTCACAGTGTTATACAGTAATGGAATTACACTCTACCACAGTGCACAAGTTTTATACTTATATTAATGGTTTATACTAGCTCGTAAAAACGATATTGGATATTGGAAGAGGCAAACGTGACATTTTGAGTGCTCCGCTACGTAGTATCAGAAATGTGGTTGTAAAGGTCATTTCATTGATATGAGGCTGTCTCAAACAATATTTGTTCTGAGTGGCAAATATGCGGAACAGTTTGTGAGATTTGGAGGATATTCTCCAACCCCATTATCTCTGAAAAAACTGATCGCTTTTGGTAGAGTCGGTTCTGTTCAGAAATCAGCTGCATTTTTATCAGATGAATTGCCTGTGCGTCTTGCAAATATTATGCAGGAAATTCACCTTCTTCCTGAACGGCTTGTGAGGACTCCTTCTGCGTCTCTTGTGAGACAATGGTTTGTCGGATATAAATATATAACCTCTTAGGTATGAGCAGAGCTTTTGTGATCTGGTGGATTTTGAGAAAATAACATGGAATGAAAACAGTCTTAATCGGTTTAACGAGACTCTCGCAAAAATTCGAAGCCGTCATACAACTGTGGTCGAAACGATGGCACAGGTTTTTTGCTTATTTCTCAATAAATATGCTGGTTGTATAACACAGGGTGTCATGGAAATGCAGGAAAAGTACAAAACTGATGTCATAACTAATAACCAGGTGCAGTACTTCTTAGACAGGTTCTACATGATGAGGATCAGTATTCGTATGCTGTTAAGCCAACACTGTAAGTGTGATATTTGTTTATACGACTACTAGGTTTGTTTAGCTCTTACCTGTTAATGTATGCCGCTTTGTTATGGCTTTGATTTTTGATCTGTTCCTATGCTATTCATCTCAAAGTCTTCCACCCGTTCATATAGACATGTATTTTGGTATTTAAAGGCTTTCTTCCGAAATACTCTGTGTTAATTTTCGGAGGAACTAGATTGAAAATTTTTTATATTGGTTAATTAATCTATGTTCAGGCTATTTACGTTATGACAATATTTAATTAATTAACACCTTCGATAGTTCGACTTTCGATGTTATCACAACTGTCTCAGTTCACTCATAAATATAATGTGTTTTATTGCTAGTTGTGAATACAGTTAACAATCTGATGAGAAACGTTGCCTCGGTTTAAAATAATGCAAGTTTTGGTTTTATGTTCTTTCCAGTACTCATGTTCGGTTCCGAGTTGAACAAACACAGAAGATACGTCGGTTCCATTGATCCTGATTGCAACGTTCGAGAAATATTAGATGATGCATACGAAGATGCCAAATTTTTATGTGAGCACTATTATTCTGCCGCTCATGAAATGAAAGTTCAGGTTCACAGTAGTAAGTAATACACATATACGCCATTTGTCTAAATCTAAAAAACCTTTGTCAGCAGTAAACGAAAGTGCCTACGGGTTTTCTACTCAGGTTATTTTTGTACAAAGCCCAAAATGCAGCAGTTTTTAGGTCGTTATTTATGCATCTAACATTTATAAGTATTTTTTAAGGGCTCAACATCTAGCCTGTTCCCAAGTGAAAATAGAAACAAGCTAGACATGATATAGCCCTTCCAGGCGAGGACGCTGACAAAATGCAGTCTTCTGAACACCCTGAGCTGCGATCTAAGAATGTCGGCATGCGAGTCGCTCCCGCCAAATGTAAGATCATGTTACTGGACTGGACTACACTGACTCCTAGTTTAGAAATAGGGAGTGAAATGGTAGAGCACGCTGACCGCCTCACTTATTTGGGAAGTTGCATCAGCCAACGCCAACGGGTTGATCTTTAACGAAATCTCAGTACGGATAGAAATGGGTAGTTTCGCATATGCCAGTTTACACCGTCTGTGGCGTAGACATGATATCCAGCTATCGACCAAAGGGTGTGTGTACTGCTCATCAGTCTGCTCCGTTCTCCTTCATGGCTGTCGGACCTGGTCATTGAGAGTGGGAGACATGAAAAGACTAGCTATCTTTGATCATAGGTGCCTGCGTTCTATCTCCCGTACTGGTTGGTATAATAGGGTGAGCAATATTGAGGTTAGACGTCGAGTCCTAGGTAAGGAGGTGAAATCAATCGACGAGGCTGTGCAGTTACATCGACCGACATGGTTAGGACATGTGTTACGTATGCCTAGTCATCGCCTTCCTCGACAGGCAATGTTAGCTGACATAGGATTAGGTCGGAGAAGAGCCAGTGGTTGTCAAACCAAATCATGGCATCAGTCAATCAAATCCACAACAGTTAGTTTAAGTGGGCCACGTAGGGAGGTGTAGACTTCTTGGTTGGGGTCCTCGGGATGGTAAATCTAATGGTTGGTGGCTGTCGGCGGTATGGCTCAAAATCATTCTCAATGGCGCATATACATCCACTCCTTGTGACTTTTAATACCCAACAAAACTGTATTGTTCTTTGATAGCACTATTCTTTTTGCCTTATATCTCTGTTTGCTGTCTCTATTTTGCATTTCTTTTTACTCTCTTCTCTTTCTTTGTGCTACATGGAGTGTAGTGGCTCAAACTGCTGCACATCTGTTGAAAGTTCTGTGTTGAAAACAGTCACTCAGTCAGTCCAGTTTTACTTTATCAGCCCTTCTCAGTAAACTTACCTGCATATTTCGGTTGCAGGTGAAAAACTTTAGGTAACGACAATCAGAAACTAGTGTTAGAATATGTATTTAAATAGTTGTAAGAAACTACTTTCTGTTTTGTCCTTATCAGCATCTGAGCCATTTCTTCGAACCTGAATACCACACTTCCTTTTTATTTTTCTTAACTTAAAAATGTCTGTTAACTTCATTAAGGTAGGCACTCGTTTGATAATTAAAATTCATTCTCTGTATTCGGTAAATCTGTCCAAGTGTAGTTTCTCTTTTACATGCAATAAACTCTAATTGGTGGTGTCAGCTTCCCAAAACAAGAAGTTGTTTGGTGGGGTTCGAATCAACTTCCCGGAGCAGTTGTCCATAGCACTTCAACGGTGGTATGAGACCAAGGGAAAAATTGGAGGACACATCCGATGCTGTGAAAGCAGACCCGAAATATAAGGAGGCAGCAAACTGAGGCTTTAATACGACCCCAAGCTTCGGTGACACTAGAGCGATGCAGCTCTGAGAATAATAGTCTGTGTCTCTCAAGTGTCCTGCCTAAATCCATTGAAAAAAATTACAACGGGCCGGTTCTATCGGAATCGGCCAACTAGTTCCAACATCAAGTCCCCCACCAGCAGACGGTTTCACGTCAACTACCCCACAACACTCTGAGGTTGTTAGACTCACTGTCAGTTGCCTATATAGCAATGTGAGGGGGCTGAGAGGAAAAGTAGGTGAACTCCGAAATCTCCAAGCACACCTTCAACTGAAAATAATCATTCTCACTGAAACGTGGCTAAACCCCACTATCGCCGACAATGAAATCAGTATAGGTGATATGGTACTGGTCAGAAGAGACAGGGATAATAAGGAAGGAGGGGGAGTTGCTATATACTTTGATAGGCAACTTAAATGTGTGCGCGCAACGGACCCACCACTTATCGAACTCCCAGACTCCATATGGTGTCATTTCACCGTAGGCCACACCAAGCACTTACTGGGTGGCATCTACCGATCTCCCACCTGTGGGGCAGAGCACAATCAGCTACTGCTCAGCACTATCACAGTGATACGAGATTTGGGCTACGACCAAATCACCATAGCTGGAGATTTCAATGCTCCATCACTGAACCTCGGCTCCGGGTGTGCTAAGGGAAAATTTGGCCGAAACCTACTGCAAACTATTCGAAACACGGGACTGACTGAGAATGTTGGAGACGACACTAGGTGGGGCCCTAGTGGAAAGTCATCAAAACTAGATTATATTCTAACTAGTGACCAGCTACTCGTCGAAAAGGTCCAGATCATGACTCCTCTGGGAAGCAGTGACCATGCAGTCATAGGTTTCGATCTTGTCCTCCGTGAGCGTTTGCAATGGGATGTTACGCGACCATGTCTGTGCTACAGCAAGGCTGACTATGCTGAAATGCGGAGGCTCTTGTCCGACGCAGACTGGCCCTTAGCATGGGACGACCTATCTGTGGATGAACACTGGGAAGTGGTAAAAAAGATTATCCACACAGCAATCTCGGATACCGTCCCTTTAGTCACAACACAGCCCAAGAGAAAGACGTCATGGTTGAAGAGAGGCACGCAACGTATTCTGCAAGCAAAGCGGAAGGCTTGGTTTACGTGGCGTGTATCTAAGAGTCAGACCGACCATGATGCATACCTCGAACTCAGGAACCGGTGTAATGCAAGAGTCAGGAGGGACAGAAGGTCATTCCAGGCTAACCTTGCTAAAAAACTCCTATCAAACCCTAAAAACTTGTACCGATTCATGTCGGAAAGAAAACCGACAAACCAAGGGGCATGCGCCTTAGTAGGCCCAAACGGTCAATATCTCACTAGTCTGGAGATGGCTGAAACATTCAGTTCAGCCTTCGCTAAACAGCTAAACAGCAATGTGGATATTACAGTTACGGACCAAAATGGTGGCACCACTATTTCAGAGGAGGAAGACCTAGCGACTACTCCCCAAATAAACCCCGCAATAGTACTAAGGAAGCTACAGCGACTCATACCTGGGAAGTCCCCAGGTTGTGATGACATCAGGCCATCTGTTCTGAAACAGTGCGCCGAGGCTCTCTGTAGACCCCTGTGCGACTTGTTCCAACACTCAATGGATTCGGGGACCCTGCCAAGGGAGTGGAAAAGAGCCATCCTTTCTCCAATCTTCAAGGGTGGGGACAGGCAAAACGCTGCTAGCTATAGACCAGTAGCTCTACTCCCAGTGGTATCAAAAGTACTGGAAAGTATTATTGACGACCACATCAGGGAATATTTCGATAGGACTAATATACTACATGAAGCCCAACATGGTTTCAGAAAAGGCAGATCCTGCGTCACTAACCTACTGTCAGCTTGGGACGACTGGACATCATGCTGGGACATGAACGTACCAGTCCATGTGGTCTTCCTAGACTTTGAGAAGGCATTTGACACTGTTCACCATGACCTTCTCCTACATAAAATAAGCCAGGCAGGCATAGGTGAGCCACTTCTGTCATGGTTGAAGGACTACCTAGCCGACAGGCAATTTTGCACTAAGGTTAACCGAGTCCGATCATCTTGGCACAGATCGTCATCAGGAGTGTCGCAGGGTTCTATCCTAGGACCACTGATGTTTTTGATTTTCATCAATGATCTACCACGCCGTCTGAGCTGCCCGACTCTCCTGTACGCTGACGACGTAAAAATATGGAGGGCGATAAAGTGTCCGGAGGACTCAGATAGGCTACAGGAAGACCTAAACCTTCTGGAAGACTGGGCGGTGGCCAGTGGCATGACTTTCAACTTGAAAAAGTGCAAAGTAGTGAAGTTGCGCACCTGTAGACTGCAGAATGCAAGTTACACCCTGTGCAATGAAAGCTTGTCCTGCACAACGTCGGAACGCGACTTAGGTCTAGTTCTAACGGAAAAAATGGACACAAGCGTAAATTACACAGGGGATGTAGCGAGGGCATATGCGGTCATACACTTTACGCATAGACAGTTAGGTGCACTCACTCCTGAGCTCTTTCTAATGTTGTACAAAACATACGTCAGGCCACACCTTGAGGTGCATAATATTATTGCACCCCCAATGCTGAGAAGAGACGCCAACCTCTTGGAAAGAGTCCAACGACGGGCAACAAAAGGAGTGGTTGGTCTCCGAAACAAACCATATGATGAAAGGCTGAAGAAATTAGGCCTGTTCACACTTAGTTACCGTCGGCTTAGGGGGGATTTGATTACTGCCTACAAAATAACAAATGACCAGAATCACCCAAACAAAGGTGTTCTGCCATTGAGTAGGTATAGGCTCCCACGTGGAAATCCCAGAAGGATAGCTCACCAGAGGCCAAGGACCCGGGTGCGCTCCCACTTCTTTTCACTGCGGGTTTGCCGTCCCTGGAATTCCTTGCCGGCAGATGTAGCTATGGCACCGTCTTTGGACGCCTTTAAGCGAAGGCTGGACAACCATGCAGCGATACAAGGACTGCATCCAAATGGCCTATCTCCTTAAAATCGCATATACCAATCAGGGGTAGATAATTAAACTCGTCGTTTTACTTCTTTACATTCTCTCCCGCCTTACTCTCCTATTATATTATTATATTATTCTTCAAACTTAATGAGCTGACTGTTGTTACGTTTCCTATTTCCGTTTCTGTCTCTTAGTCTGAATAGCTTCACTAATTATATCTATTATTATTATTACTATTATTATTATTATTACTACCTCTTTTCTCTTGTCGACGACACCGAAGGACTAACTGGCGAAAGGATCAACTCCAATCACAGTAATGACAGTCTTTCTCTTTTTGGTACTCTGATACTCCTATTCATCTTCTGGTCGAGGTCGAAAAACCCTGCATCTAAACTGAAATGAGGATTAATTCCAAACCGTCTATCTCATAACCACTGAAATTCCATGAACGATCCAATTCTACCATTTGAAGACGCTGGCGAACATGCTGTAAATGAGTATTCATGATCTGAAATGAAGAAGCAACTGGTTTTCAAACAGTTTTCAACATCTTTCTGAACTTACGAATGCAGTCCGCCATGCAGACACAAATGGAGCAAATGGAGAATTCTGGAACCGACCTCAGCACCATTTGATGCAGTAAAACAACTACACATGACCTCATCTAGTTTTCGCATCCACGATCAAATTTCTTTCCTGCTATAAAACTACGATAAGACTACTGAAAAAATAGAATAAATATATCACTGATCTCAACATAATACATCAACAAACTTTGATCCGAGGGTGCTGTTCACAACAAAGTTATGTAAAAGGATTGACTTCAAGCTTTTTTTCCCAGATATTTGTACTACATTCATCTGATGTCTGGGTTTTTTTTAATGCGAAGACAATATTTCTATATCTTTATGTGCTACACAAACAAACTTTATAGCAGACTGTTCCGTCTGACTCTAATGTCAGGAAGAACAACCAAACTGTAAATTCATCATACATCAATTTGTGTAATTTATATAATAACTTATCCATGCCTGTACAATTGGTATGTTCCTGCATAAACAGGAAGAAATATATTATTATTATTATTATTAACATACCTCATACTACAAACCACATATAATTAATCCCAGCACTACTCCCTTTGGAGTCAACCAAAGCTACGACAGTCGAGTGGCAGGACAAGCTACGCAGAAGTTTACCGAAGATCAGGAACCTATACCTCACAGTCAAGAAGCGAGCACAAAGAAATCAAATTGGTTTATACTAGCTCGTAAAAACGATATTGGATATTGGAAGAGGCAAACGTGACATTTTGAGTGCTCCGCTACGTAGTATCAGAAATGTGGTTGTAAAGGTCATTTCATTGATATGAGGCTGTCTCAAACAATATTTGTTCTGAGTGGCAAATATGCGGAACAGTTTGTGAGATTTGGAGGATATTCTCCAACCCCATTATCTCTGAAAAAACTGATCGCTTTTGGTAGAGTCGGTTCTGTTCAGAAATCAGCTGCATTTTTATCAGATGAATTGCCTGTGCGTCTTGCAAATATTATGCAGGAAATTCACCTTCTTCCTGAACGGCTTGTGAGGACTCCTTCTGCGTCTCCTGTGAGACAATGGTTTGTCGGATATAAATATATAACCTCTTAGGTATGAGCAGAGCTTTTGTGATCTGGTGGATTTTGAGAAAATAACATGGAATGAAAACAGTCTTAATCGGTTTAACGAGACTCTCGCAAAAATTCGAAGCCGTCATACAACTGTGGTCGAAACGATGGCACAGGTTTTTTGCTTATTTCTCAATAAATATGCTGGTTGTATAACACAGGGTGTCATGGAAATGCAGGAAAAGTACAAAACTGATGTCATAACTAATAACCAGGTGCAGTACTTCTTAGACAGGTTCTACATGATGAGGATCAGTATTCGTATGCTGTTAAGCCAACACTGTAAGTGTGATATTTGTTTATACGACTACTAGGTTTGTTTAGCTCTTACCTGTTAATGTATGCCGCTTTGTTATGGCTTTGATTTTTGATCTGTTCCTATGCTATTCATCTCAAAGTCTTCCACCCGTTCATATAGACATGTATTTTGGTATTTAAAGGCTTTCTTCCGAAATACTCTGTGTTAATTTTCGGAGGAACTAGATTGAAAATTTTTTATATTGGTTAATTAATCTATGTTCAGGCTATTTACGTTATGACAATATTTAATTAATTAACACCTTCGATAGTTCGACTTTCGATGTTATCACAACTGTCTCAGTTCACTCATAAATATAATGTGTTTTATTGCTAGTTGTGAATACAGTTAACAATCTGATGAGAAACGTTGCCTCGGTTTAAAATAATGCAAGTTTTGGTTTTATGTTCTTTCCAGTACTCATGTTCGGTTCCGAGTTGAACAAGCACAGAAGATACGTCGGTTCCATTGATCCTGATTGCAACGTTCGAGAAATATTAGATGATGCATACGAAGATGCCAAATTTTTATGTGAGCACTATTATTCTGCCGCTCCTGAAATGAAAGTTCAGGTTCACAGTAGTAAGTAATACACATATACGCCATTTGTCTAAATCTAAAAAACCTTTGTCAGCAGTAAACGAAAGTGCCTACGGGTTTTCTACTCAGGTTATTTTTGTACAAAGCCCAAAATGCAGCAGTTTTTAGGTCGTTATTTATGCATCTAACATTTATAAGTATTTTTTAAGGGCTCAACACCTAGCCTGTTCCCAAGTGAAAATAGAAACAAGCTAGACATGATATAGCCCTTCCAGGCGAGGACGCTGACAAAATGCAGTCTTCTGAACACCCTGAGCTGCGATCTAAGAATGTCGGCATGCGAGTCGCTCCCGCCAAATGTAAGATCATGTTACTGGACTGGACTACACTGACTCCTAGTTTAGAAATAGGGAGTGAAATGGTAGAGCACGCTGACCGCCTCACTTATTTGGGAAGTTGCATCAGCCAACGCCAACGGGTTGATCTTTAACGAAATCTCAGTACGGATAGAAATGGGTAGTTTCGCATATGCCAGTTTACACCGTCTGTGGCGTAGACATGATATCCAGCTATCGACCAAAGGGTGTGTGTACTGCTCATCAGTCTGCTCCGTTCTCCTTCATGGCTGTCGGACCTGGTCATTGAGAGTGGGAGACATGAAAAGACTAGCTATCTTTGATCATAGGTGCCTGCGTTCTATCTCCCGTACTGGTTGGTATAATAGGGTGAGCAATATTGAGGTTAGACGTCGAGTCCTAGGTAAGGAGGTGAAATCAATCGACGAGGCTGTGCAGTTACATCGACCGACATGGTTAGGACATGTGTTACGTATGCCTAGTCATCGCCTTCCTCGACAGGCAATGTTAGCTGACATAGGATTAGGTCGGAGAAGAGCCAGTGGTTGTCAAACCAAATCATGGCATCAGTCAATCAAATCCACAACAGTTAGTTTAAGTGGGCCACGTAGGGAGGTGTAGACTTCTTGGTTGGGGTCCTCGGGATGGTAAATCTAATGGTTGGTGGCTGTCGGCGGTATGGCTCAAAATCATTCTCAATGGCGCATATACATCCACTCCTTGTGACTTTTAATACCCAACAAAACTGTATTGTCCTTTGATAGCACTATTCTTTTTGCCTTATATCTCTGTTTGCTGTCTCTATTTTGCATTTCTTTTTACTCTCTTCTCTTTCTTTGTGCTACATGGAGTGTAGTGGCTCAAACTGCTGCACATCTGTTGAAAGTTCTGTGTTGAAAACAGTCACTCAGTCAGTCCAGTTTTACTTTATCAGCCCTTCTCAGTAAACTTACCTGCATATTTCGGTTGCAGGTGAAAAACTTTAGGTAACGACAATCAGAAACTAGTGTTAGAATATGTATTTAAATAGTTGTAAGAAACTACTTTCTGTTTTGTCCTTATCAGCATCTGAGCCATTTCTTCGAACCTGAATACCACACTTCCTTTTTATTTTTCTTAACTTAAAAATGTCTGTTAACTTCATTAAGGTAGGCACTCGTTTGATAATTAAAATTCATTCTCTGTATTCGGTAAATCTGTCCAAGTGTAGTTTCTCTTTTACATGCAATAAACTCTAATTGGTGGTGTCAGCTTCCCAAAACAAGAAGTTGTTTGGTGGGGTTCGAATCAACTTCCCGGAGCAGTTGTCCATAGCACTTCAACGGTGGTATGAGACCAAGGGAAAAATTGGAGGACACATCCGATGCTGTGAAAGCAGACCCGAAATATAAGGAGGCAGCAAACTGAGGCTTTAATACGACCCCAAGCTTCGGTGACACTAGAGCGATGCAGCTCTGAGAATAATAGTCTGTGTCTCCCAAGTGTCCTGCCTAAATCCATTGAAAAAAATTACAACGGGCCGGTTCTATCGGAATCGGCCAACTAGTTCCAACATCAAGTCCCCCACCAGCAGACGGTTTCACGTCAACTACCCCACAACACTCTGAGGTTGTTAGACTCACTGTCAGTTGCCTATATAGCAATGTGAGGGGGCTGAGAGGAAAAGTAGGTGAACTCCGAAATCTCCAAGCACACCTTCAACTGAAAATAATCATTCTCACTGAAACGTGGCTAAACCCCACTATCGCCGACAATGAAATCAGTATAGGTGATATGGTACTGGTCAGAAGAGACAGGGATAATAAGGAAGGAGGGGGAGTTGCTATATACTTTGATAGGCAACTTAAATGTGTGCGCGCAACGGACCCACCACTTATCGAACTCCCAGACTCCATATGGTGTCATTTCACCGTAGGCCACACCAAGCACTTACTGGGTGGCATCTACCGATCTCCCACCTGTGGGGCAGAGCACAATCAGCTACTGCTCAGCACTATCACAGGATACGAGATTTGGGCTACGACCAAATCACCATAGCTGGAGATTTCAATGCTCCATCACTGAACCTCGGCTCCGGGTGTGCTAAGGGAAAATTTGGCCGAAACCTACTGCAAACTATTCGAAACACGGGACTGACTGAGAATGTTGGAGACGACACTAGGTGGGGCCCTAGTGGAAAGTCATCAAAACTAGATTATATTCTAACTAGTGACCAGCTACTCGTCGAAAAGGTCCAGATCATGACTCCTCTGGGAAGCAGTGACCATGCAGTCATAGGTTTCGATCTTGTCCTCCGTGAGCGTTTGCAATGGGATGTTACGCGACCATGTCTGTGCTACAGCAAGGCTGACTATGCTGAAATGCGGAGGCTCTTGTCCGACGCAGACTGGCCCTTAGCATGGGACGACCTATCTGTGGATGAACACTGGGAAGTGGTAAAAAAGATTATCCACACAGCAATCTCGGATACCGTCCCTTTAGTCACAACACAGCCCAAGAGAAAGACGTCATGGTTGAAGAGAGGCACGCAACGTATTCTGCAAGCAAAGCGGAAGGCTTGGTTTACGTGGCGTGTATCTAAGAGTCAGACCGACCATGATGCATACCTCGAACTCAGGAACCGGTGTAATGCAAGAGTCAGGAGGGACAGAAGGTCATTCCAGGCTAACCTTGCTAAAAAACTCCTATCAAACCCTAAAAACTTGTACCGATTCATGTCGGAAAGAAAACCGACAAACCAAGGGGCATGCGCCTTAGTAGGCCCAAACGGTCAATATCTCACTAGTCTGGAGATGGCTGAAACATTCAGTTCAGCCTTCGCTAAACAGCTAAACAGCAATGTGGATATTACAGTTACGGACCAAAATGGTGGCACCACTATTTCAGAGGAGGAAGACCTAGCGACTACTCCCCAAATAAACCCCGCAATAGTACTAAGGAAGCTACAGCGACTCATACCTGGGAAGTCCCCAGGTTGTGATGACATCAGGCCATCTGTTCTGAAACAGTGCGCCGAGGCTCTCTGTAGACCCCTGTGCGACTTGTTCCAACACTCAATGGATTCGGGGACCCTGCCAAGGGAGTGGAAAAGAGCCATCCTTTCTCCAATCTTCAAGGGTGGGGACAGGCAAAACGCTGCTAGCTATAGACCAGTAGCTCTACTCCCAGTGGTATCAAAAGTACTGGAAAGTATTATTGACGACCACATCAGGGAATATTTCGATAGGACTAATATACTACATGAAGCCCAACATGGTTTCAGAAAAGGCAGATCCTGCGTCACTAACCTACTGTCAGCTTGGGACGACTGGACATCATGCTGGGACATGAACGTACCAGTCCATGTGGTCTTCCTAGACTTTGAGAAGGCATTTGACACTGTTCACCATGACCTTCTCCTACATAAAATAAGCCAGGCAGGCATAGGTGAGCCACTTCTGTCATGGTTGAAGGACTACCTAGCCGACAGGCAATTTTGCACTAAGGTTAACCGAGTCCGATCATCTTGGCACAGATCGTCATCAGGAGTGTCGCAGGGTTCTATCCTAGGACCACTGATGTTTTTGATTTTCATCAATGATCTACCACGCCGTCTGAGCTGCCCGACTCTCCTGTACGCTGACGACGTAAAAATATGGAGGGCGATAAAGTGTCCGGAGGACTCAGATAGGCTACAGGAAGACCTAAACCTTCTGGAAGACTGGGCGGTGGCCAGTGGCATGACTTTCAACTTGAAAAAGTGCAAAGTAGTGAAGTTGCGCACCTGTAGACTGCAGAATGCAAGTTACACCCTGTGCAATGAAAGCTTGTCCTGCACAACGTCGGAACGCGACTTAGGTCTAGTTCTAACGGAAAAAATGGACACAAGCGTAAATTACACAGGGGATGTAGCGAGGGCATATGCGGTCATACACTTTACGCATAGACAGTTAGGTGCACTCACTCCTGAGCTCTTTCTAATGTTGTACAAAACATACGTCAGGCCACACCTTGAGGTGCATAATATTATTGCACCCCCAATGCTGAGAAGAGACGCCAACCTCTTGGAAAGAGTCCAACGACGGGCAACAAAAGGAGTGGTTGGTCTCCGAAACAAACCATATGATGAAAGGCTGAAGAAATTAGGCCTGTTCACACTTAGTTACCGTCGGCTTAGGGGGGATTTGATTACTGCCTACAAAATAACAAATGACCAGAATCACCCAAACAAAGGTGTTCTGCCATTGAGTAGGTATAGGCTCTCACGTGGAAATCCCAGAAGGATAGCTCACCAGAGGGCAAGGACCCGGGTGCGCTCCCACTTCTTTTCACTGCGGGTTTGCCGTCCCTGGAATTCCTTGCCGGCAGATGTAGCTATGGCACCGTCTTTGGACGCCTTTAAGCGAAGGCTGGACAACCATGCAGCGATACAAGGACTGCATCCAAATGGCCTATCTCCTTAAAATCGCATATACCAATCAGGGTAGATAATTAAACTCGTCGTTTTACTTCTTTACATTCTCTCCCGCCTTACTCTCCTATTATATTATTATATTATTCTTCAAACTTAATGAGCTGACTGTTGTTACGTTTCCTATTTCCGTTTCTGTCTCTTAGTCTGAATAGCTTCACTAATTATATCTATTATTATTATTACTATTATTATTATTATTACTACCTCTTTTCTCTTGTCGACGACACCGAAGGACTAACTGGCGAAAGGATCAACTCCAATCACAGTAATGACAGTCTTAACATACCTCATACTACAAACCACATATAATTAATCCCAGCACTACTCCCTTTGGAGTCAACCAAAGCTACGACAGTCGAGTGGCAGGACAAGCTACGCAGAAGTTTACCGAAGATCAGGAACCTATACCTCACAGTCAAGAAGCGAGCACAAAGAAATCAAATTGGTTTATACTAGCTCGTAAAAACGATATTGGATATTGGAAGAGGCAAACGTGACATTTTGAGTGCTCCGCTACGTAGTATCAGAAATGTGGTTGTAAAGGTCATTTCATTGATATGAGGCTGTCTCAAACAATATTTGTTCTGAGTGGCAAATATGCGGAACAGTTTGTGAGATTTGGAGGATATTCTCCAACCCCATTATCTCTGAAAAAACTGATCGCTTTTGGTAGAGTCGGTTCTGTTCAGAAATCAGCTGCATTTTTATCAGATGAATTGCCTGTGCGTCTTGCAAATATTATGCAGGAAATTCACCTTCTTCCTGAACGGCTTGTGAGGACTCCTTCTGCGTCTCTTGTGAGACAATGGTTTGTCGGATATAAATATATAACCTCTTAGGTATGAGCAGAGCTTTTGTGATCTGGTGGATTTTGAGAAAATAACATGGAATGAAAACAGTCTTAATCGGTTTAACGAGACTCTCGCAAAAATTCGAAGCCGTCATACAACTGTGGTCGAAACGATGGCACAGGTTTTTTGCTTATTTCTCAATAAATATGCTGGTTGTATAACACAGGGTGTCATGGAAATGCAGGAAAAGTACAAAACTGATGTCATAACTAATAACCAGGTGCAGTACTTCTTAGACAGGTTCTACATGATGAGGATCAGTATTCGTATGCTGTTAAGCCAACACTGTAAGTGTGATATTTGTTTATACGACTACTAGGTTTGTTTAGCTCTTACCTGTTAATGTATGCCGCTTTGTTATGGCTTTGATTTTTGATCTGTTCCTATGCTATTCATCTCAAAGTCTTCCACCCGTTCATATAGACATGTATTTTGGTATTTAAAGGCTTTCTTCCGAAATACTCTGTGTTAATTTTCGGAGGAACTAGATTGAAAATTTTTTATATTGGTTAATTAATCTATGTTCAGGCTATTTACGTTATGACAATATTTAATTAATTAACACCTTCGATAGTTCGACTTTCGATGTTATCACAACTGTCTCAGTTCCCCCCCAATACGGGGAAGTGGTGAGACTGACTACCAGTTGCCTGTATAGTAATGTGAGAGGGCTAAGAGGCAAAATAGCTGAACTTAGACACCTACAATCACAACTGAACTCCAAAATCATCATACTGACGGAAACCTGGCTAACCCCTACGGTGGCAGACAGCGAAGTCAGTATAAATGATATGGTCCTAGTCAGGCGAGATAGGGACCTGAAAGAAGGAGGTGGAGTCGCCATATACGTCGACAAACAGCTCAGATGTGTTCACGCAACGGACCCTCCCCTCACAGAGCTCCCTGACTCCATATGGTGCCACTTCACCGTTGGGTACTGCAAATATCTAGTGGGCAGCATTTATCGATCACCTTCATGTGGAGCAGACCACAACCAGGTACTGCTAAATACAATCTCAGCAACTAAAGACATGGGTTATGATCAAATTGTCATAGCTGGTGACTTCAATGCCCCATCTCTTAACTTGGTGTCGGGAAAAGCCCATGATAGATTTGATCGAAATCTGCTGCATACCATCAGGAAGGCTGGATTCACTGAAAATGTCAAGATGGATACTAGATGGGGCCCTGATGGGAAGTCTTCTAGACTGGATTACGTGCTCACTAGTGACCAGCTACTAGTGGAAAACGTTCAGATCACGACTCCCATAGGTAGTAGTGACCACGCGGTCATAGTATTCGACATAGTCCTCCGCGAGCGCTTACAGTGGGACAATACACAGCCCTATCTGTGTTATAACAAAGCCAACTACACCAAAATGCGAAGACTTCTGTCTGAAGCAAATTGGCCTAAAAAATGGACAGAGCTAACAGTAGAAGAACACTGGAGAGTGGTAAAGGAGATCATTCACCAGGCGGTCTCAGACACTGTTCCTTTAGTCTCACCAAAAGCTAGGAAGCAACGATCATGGCTGAAAAGGGGGACACAACGCCTTCTGCAGGCAAAGCGAAAAGCCTGGTTCGCGTGGCGACGATCGAAGAGTCAACCCGAATATGAAGTGTACCTTGAACTCAGGAATCGATGTAACATACGAGTCCGGAGCGATAGAAGGACATTTCAGGGAGACCTCGCCAATAAGCTTCTCGTGAACCCCAAAAGCCTATACAGGTTTATGGCCGAAAGAAAACCGACCAACCAGGGAGCATGCAATCTAGTGGGTTCTGATGGGAAATCTCTTACTAGTCTTGAAATGGCAGAGACATTCAGCCTAGCCTTTCACAGGCAACTAAATAGTAACGAGGATATTACCCCTACAGAACATCCAGATTACATCGCCAAACCAACACACGAAAACCTGCTGGGGACATTTCAAATTACCCCGGCTATGGTACTTGCAAAATTGGGAAGGTTGGCTTCGGGAAAGTCTCCAGGTTGTGATGGCATCAGACCATCTGTCCTGAAGCAGTGTTCAGAAAGTCTCTGTCAACCCCTAAGCGATCTGTTCCAACACTCCCTTGATGTAGGGAAACTTCCATGTGAATGGAAACGTGCAATCCTATCCCCTATCTTCAAGGGTGGTGACCGGCAGAATGTGACCAGTTACAGACCAGTTGCTCTACTTCCAGTGGTATCGAAGATATTGGAAAGTCTCATTGACGACCACATGAGAAAATACTTCGATGGGACTAACCTTCTTCACGAAGCACAGCACGGTTTCAGGAGGGGAAGATCCTGCGTGACGAATCTTCTACTAGCCTGGAACGATTGGACACTATCCTGGGACAAAAAGGTACCAGCCCACGTGATCTTTCTCGACTTTGCGAAAGCATTCGACACAGTTCACCATGGTCTGCTCCTTCACAAAATAGGCAAGGCGGGAGTTTCTGGAGCACTTCTCGCATGGCTGAAAGATTACTTAGGTGAGAGAGAATTCTGCACCAAAGTCAACCGCATCCGATCATCCTGGCACACCTCGGCATCAGGGGTTCCTCAGGGTTCTATCCTAGGGCCGTTGATGTTTTTGATTTTTATCAATGACCTGCCCCCCCAACTAAACTGCTCTGCGCTTCTTTACGCTGACGACGTAAAGATTTGGAGAGCAATAAACTCATCGGAAGACTCAGATAGATTGCAGGCTGACCTGCAAACTCTGGGAAATTGGGCTTTGGCTAACGGAATGCCTTTCAATCTAAAGAAGTGCAAAGTAGTGCAGCTTCATTCCGGAAGGTCACAGAGTGTAAATTACACCCTTGGTGGCCAGAACTTGAGTTGTGTTCCATCAGAGCGTGATCTAGGTCTTATTCTAACAGAAAAGCTAGACACCAGTGGAAATTACTCGAGGGACGTCGCCAAAGCCTACGCAACATTACACTTTATGCACAGGCAGCTGGGAGCTCTCACTCCGGAACTGTTCTTAAGGCTATACAAGGCATATGTGAGGCCACACCTTGAGGTGCATAATATCATTGCACCTCCGCTACTCAAAAGGGATGCTAACATTCTAGAAAGTGTCCAGAGACGAGCGACAAAATGGGTGATCGGCCTCCGCAACAAATCATATGAGGAAAGACTAAAGAAATTAGGTCTTTTCACACTTAGTTACCGTAGGCACAGGGGAGACCTCATCACCGTCTACAAGATCCTAAATGACCAGGCCCACCCAAATAAAAGCATCCTGCCATTAAGCGATTATAGGCTTCCACGAGGTAACCCGCTAAGGATAGCACACCAGAGACCAAAGACTCGAGTGCGATCACATTTCTTTTCGCTTCGTGTTTGCCGTCTCTGGAACGCTTTACCGGCGGCCGTGACTACAGCGCCATCTCTGGAGATTTTTAAGCGGAAGCTAGACAATCATGCAGAAATGCAAGGTTTGTGTCTCAATGGCTTATCCTCATAAAATTTGAAACCACACTGTCAATGGATAGGCGTACAAACTAAATCCCCACGACCTATTCTGCCTTCTCTCACTCTATCTTTTCCTTAGGTCACCTTTATTATTCCACTTATCTCAACCTATATTATCTACACTACAACCTATTATTATTATTATTATTATTACTATTCTGCTTTTATGACTACACCGAATGACCAAGGGGAGTTAGGTCAAACTCCATTCACGGCAGCAATACAGTCCTAACATACTGCATACTACAAACCACATCTCGACCAATCCCCGCACCACTCCTCCTGGAGTCTACCAGAGCTAAAGCAGTCGAGTGTCGGGACTTACTACGCAGAAGCTCACCGAAGATCTGGAACCTCTACCTCACAATCAAGAAGCGAGCTCAAAGAAATCACTGGTTTATACTAGCTCGTAATCAGGATATTGGATATTGGATATTGGATAAATATAATGTGTTTTATTGCTAGTTGTGAATACAGTTAACAATCTGATGAGAAACGTTGCCTCGGTTTAAAATAATGCAAGTTTTGGTTTTATGTTCTTTCCAGTACTCATGTTCGGTTCCGAGTTGAACAAGCACAGAAGATACGTCGGTTCCATTGATCCTGATTGCAACGTTCGAGAAATATTAGATGATGCATACGAAGATGCCAAATTTTTATGTGAGCACTATTATTCTGCCGCTCCTGAAATGAAAGTTCAGGTTCACAGTAGTAAGTAATACACATATACGCCATTTGTCTAAATCTAAAAAACCTTTGTCAGCAGTAAACGAAAGTGCCTACGGGTTTTCTACTCAGGTTATTTTTGTACAAAGCCCAAAATGCAGCAGTTTTTAGGTCGTTATTTATGCATCTAACATTTATAAGTATTTTTTAAGGGCTCAACACCTAGCCTGTTCCCAAGTGAAAATAGAAACAAGCTAGACATGATATAGCCCTTCCAGGCGAGGACGCTGACAAAATGCAGTCTTCTGAACACCCTGAGCTGCGATCTAAGAATGTCGGCATGCGAGTCGCTCCCGCCAAATGTAAGATCATGTTACTGGACTGGACTACACTGACTCCTAGTTTAGAAATAGGGAGTGAAATGGTAGAGCACGCTGACCGCCTCACTTATTTGGGAAGTTGCATCAGCCAACGCCAACGGGTTGATCTTTAACGAAATCTCAGTACGGATAGAAATGGGTAGTTTCGCATATGCCAGTTTACACCGTCTGTGGCGTAGACATGATATCCAGCTATCGACCAAAGGGTGTGTGTACTGCTCATCAGTCTGCTCCGTTCTCCTTCATGGCTGTCGGACCTGGTCATTGAGAGTGGGAGACATGAAAAGACTAGCTATCTTTGATCATAGGTGCCTGCGTTCTATCTCCCGTACTGGTTGGTATAATAGGGTGAGCAATATTGAGGTTAGACGTCGAGTCCTAGGTAAGGAGGTGAAATCAATCGACGAGGCTGTGCAGTTACATCGACCGACATGGTTAGGACATGTGTTACGTATGCCTAGTCATCGCCTTCCTCGACAGGCAATGTTAGCTGACATAGGATTAGGTCGGAGAAGAGCCAGTGGTTGTCAAACCAAATCATGGCATCAGTCAATCAAATCCACAACAGTTAGTTTAAGTGGGCCACGTAGGGAGGTGTAGACTTCTTGGTTGGGGTCCTCGGGATGGTAAATCTAATGGTTGGTGGCTGTCGGCGGTATGGCTCAAAATCATTCTCAATGGCGCATATACATCCACTCCTTGTGACTTTTAATACCCAACAAAACTGTATTGTTCTTTGATAGCACTATTCTTTTTGCCTTATATCTCTGTTTGCTGTCTCTATTTTGCATTTCTTTTTACTCTCTTCTCTTTCTTTGTGCTACATGGAGTGTAGTGGCTCAAACTGCTGCACATCTGTTGAAAGTTCTGTGTTGAAAACAGTCACTCAGTCAGTCCAGTTTTACTTTATCAGCCCTTCTCAGTAAACTTACCTGCATATTTCGGTTGCAGGTGAAAAACTTTAGGTAACGACAATCAGAAACTAGTGTTAGAATATGTATTTAAATAGTTGTAAGAAACTACTTTCTGTTTTGTCCTTATCAGCATCTGAGCCATTTCTTCGAACCTGAATACCACACTTCCTTTTTATTTTTCTTAACTTAAAAATGTCTGTTAACTTCATTAAGGTAGGCACTCGTTTGATAATTAAAATTCATTCTCTGTATTCGGTAAATCTGTCCAAGTGTAGTTTCTCTTTTACATGCAATAAACTCTAATTGGTGGTGTCAGCTTCCCAAAACAAGAAGTTATTTGGTGGGGTTCGAATCAACTTCCCGGAGCAGTTGTCCATAGCACTTCAACGGTGGTATGAGACCAAGGGAAAAATTGGAGGACACATCCGATGCTGTGAAAGCAGACCCGAAATATAAGGAGGCAGCAAACTGAGGCTTTAATACGACCCCAAGCTTCGGTGACACTAGAGCGATGCAGCTCTGAGAATAATAGTCTGTGTCTCCCAAGTGTCCTGCCTAAATCCATTGAAAAAAACTACAACGGGCCGGTTCTATCGGAATCGGCCAACTAGTTCCAACATCAAGTCCCCCACCAGCAGACGGTTTCACGTCAACTACCCCACAACACTCTGAGGTTGTTAGACTCACTGTCAGTTGCCTATATAGCAATGTGAGGGGGCTGAGAGGAAAAGTAGGTGAACTCCGAAATCTCCAAGCACACCTTCAACTGAAAATAATCATTCTCACTGAAACGTGGCTAAACCCCACTATCGCCGACAATGAAATCAGTATAGGTGATATGGTACTGGTCAGAAGAGACAGGGATAATAAGGAAGGAGGGGGAGTTGCTATATACTTTGATAGGCAACTTAAATGTGTGCGCGCAACGGACCCACCACTTATCGAACTCCCAGACTCCATATGGTGTCATTTCACCGTAGGCCACACCAAGCACTTACTGGGTGGCATCTACCGATCTCCCACCTGTGGGGCAGAGCACAATCAGCTACTGCTCAGCACTATCACAGGGATACGAGATTTGGGCTACGACCAAATCACCATAGCTGGAGATTTCAATGCTCCATCACTGAACCTCGGCTCCGGGTGTGCTAAGGGAAAATTTGGCCGAAACCTACTGCAAACTATTCGAAACACGGGACTGACTGAGAATGTTGGAGACGACACTAGGTGGGGCCCTAGTGGAAAGTCATCAAAACTAGATTATATTCTAACTAGTGACCAGCTACTCGTCGAAAAGGTCCAGATCATGACTCCTCTGGGAAGCAGTGACCATGCAGTCATAGGTTTCGATCTTGTCCTCCGTGAGCGTTTGCAATGGGATGTTACGCGACCATGTCTGTGCTACAGCAAGGCTGACTATGCTGAAATGCGGAGGCTCTTGTCCGACGCAGACTGGCCCTTAGCATGGGACGACCTATCTGTGGATGAACACTGGGAAGTGGTAAAAAAGATTATCCACACAGCAATCTCGGATACCGTCCCTTTAGTCACAACACAGCCTAAGAGAAAGACGTCATGGTTGAAGAGAGGCACGCAACGTATTCTGCAAGCAAAGCGGAAGGCTTGGTTTACGTGGCGTGTATCTAAGAGTCAGACCGACCATGATGCATACCTCGAACTCAGGAACCGGTGTAATGCAAGAGTCAGGAGGGACAGAAGGTCATTCCAGGCTAACCTTGCTAAAAAACTCCTATCAAACCCTAAAAACTTGTACCGATTCATGTCGGAAAGAAAACCGACAAACCAAGGGGCATGCGCCTTAGTAGGCCCAAACGGTCAATATCTCACTAGTCTGGAGATGGCTGAAACATTCAGTTCAGCCTTCGCTAAACAGCTAAACAGCAATGTGGATATTACAGTTACGGACCAAAATGGTGGCACCACTATTTCAGAGGAGGAAGACCTAGCGACTACTCCCCAAATAAACCCCGCAATAGTACTAAGGAAGCTACAGCGACTCATACCTGGGAAGTCCCCAGGTTGTGATGACATCAGGCCATCTGTTCTGAAACAGTGCGCCGAGGCTCTCTGTAGACCCCTGTGCGACTTGTTCCAACACTCAATGGATTCGGGGACCCTGCCAAGGGAGTGGAAAAGAGCCATCCTTTCTCCAATCTTCAAGGGTGGGGACAGGCAAAACGCTGCTAGCTATAGACCAGTAGCTCTACTCCCAGTGGTATCAAAAGTACTGGAAAGTATTATTGACGACCACATCAGGGAATATTTCGATAGGACTAATATACTACATGAAGCCCAACATGGTTTCAGAAAAGGCAGATCCTGCGTCACTAACCTACTGTCAGCTTGGGACGACTGGACATCATGCTGGGACTTGAACGTACCAGTCCATGTGGTCTTCCTAGACTTTGAGAAGGCATTTGACACTGTTCACCATGACCTTCTCCTACATAAAATAAGCCAGGCAGGCATAGGTGAGCCACTTCTGTCATGGTTGAAGGACTACCTAGCCGACAGGCAATTTTGCACTAAGGTTAACCGAGTCCGATCATCTTGGCACAGATCGTCATCAGGAGTGTCGCAGGGTTCTATCCTAGGACCACTGATGTTTTTGATTTTCATCAATGATCTACCACGCCGTCTGAGCTGCCCGACTCTCCTGTACGCTGACGACGTAAAAATATGGAGGGCGATAAAGTGTCCGGAGGACTCAGATAGGCTACAGGAAGACCTAAACCTTCTGGAAGACTGGGCGGTGGCCAGTGGCATGACTTTCAACTTGAAAAAGTGCAAAGTAGTGAAGTTGCGCACCTGTAGACTGCAGAATGCAAGTTACACCCTGTGCAATGAAAGCTTGTCCTGCACAACGTCGGAACGCGACTTAGGTCTAGTTCTAACGGAAAAAATGGACACAAGCGTAAATTACACAGGGGATGTAGCGAGGGCATATGCGGTCATACACTTTACGCATAGACAGTTAGGTGCACTCACTCCTGAGCTCTTTCTAATGTTGTACAAAACATACGTCAGGCCACACCTTGAGGTGCATAATATTATTGCACCCCCAATGCTGAGAAGAGATGCCAACCTCTTGGAAAGAGTCCAACGACGGGCAACAAAAGGAGTGGTTGGTCTCCGAAACAAACCATATGATGAAAGGCTGAAGAAATTAGGCCTGTTCACACTTAGTTACCGTCGGCTTAGGGGGGATTTGATTACTGCCTACAAAATAACAAATGACCAGAATCACCCAAACAAAGGTGTTCTGCCATTGAGTAGGTATAGGCTTCCACGTGGAAATCCCAGAAGGATAGCTCACCAGAGGGCAAGGACCCGGGTGCGCTCCCACTTCTTTTCACTGCGGGTTTGTCGTCCCTGGAATTCCTTACCGGCAGATGTAGCTATGGCACCGTCTTTGGACGCCTTTAAGCGAAGGCTGGACAACCATGCAGCGATACAAGGACTGCATCCAAATGGCCTATCTCCTTAAAATCGCATTTACCAATCAGGGTAGATAATTAAACTCGTCATTTTACTTCTTTACATTCTCTCCCGTCTTACTCTCCTGACAACTTATTAATATTATTATTATTACTATTACCGATATATATATATATATTATTCTTCAAACTTAATGAGCTGACTGTTGTTACGTTTCCTATTTTCGTTTCTGTCTCTTAGTCTGAATAGCTTCACTAATTATATCTATTATTATTATTACTATTATTATTATTATTACTATCTCTTTTCTCTTGTCGACAATACCGAAGGACTAACTGGCGAAAGGATCAACTCCAATCACAGTAGTAACAGTCTTAACATACCTCATACTACAAACCACATATAATTAATCCCAGCACTACTCCCTTTGGAGTCAACCAAAGCTACGACAGTCGAGTGGCGGGACAAGCTACGCAGAAGTTTACCGAAGATCAAGAACCTATACCTCACAATCAAGAAGCGAGCACAAAGAAATCAAATTGGTTTATACTAGCTCGTAAAAACGATATTGGATATTGGAAGTAGTTTCACGGAGTTATTGAATAAGCCCATTTGGAAAATGAATGTAAATGTTTCATACTGTATTATCGTTAGATATTACAATGAAGGGATGATATACTGATTGACGTTTTAAATAACTTAGGTTTGGCAGTAATACTGTGTGTTATGTGTTATATAACCCATTGTCTCTAACACCTTACCTTCAAATGAAATCAGCGGTTTGAATCTCGTTATTTCTACTTTAATCATGATTTGGGAGTATTTTCAGTCTTCATAAATAAGTGTGGCTCATAACCTGATACAGAAAAACTGTGATCCAGGTAACCGAGTTGTAATGTATTTTCGTTTGGGTATGTAAATTACTTGGAGAGGTATGATATTTCCGTTTTCTTTCCGGGATCATGAAAATGAGCAGCATTTCTTCCTAAAAGAGTGAGAAATATTTCCTGTCAGTGATATAATCCGCTGGTCTTCAGGTATATGCATTTTGGAGTCAAACACTTGAACACACTCTTTTCAGGTTTTTGTTTTTGCCTTGAGGTTCCATCTAAAACATGAGAAATTTCGTGATGCCTTTCGTGAAAATCTGTTTCAGCTGATATAATAGTTTTGGAGGACTTCATCAGCTGTATATAAGTTATTATTTATTGAAACAAACAGTACAATATGAGCACCAAAAGGTGCGCCACAAAAAAGGTAGTAAAACAAAAGTATAGGGAAAATAGGGATAGAATGAACGATGGACAATATCCAGAAAGCAAGTGAGCATACTTTTCAAAACTGTCCAACATGCGGTTCACTCCTTTACATTACATTTCCAAAAGAAAGGAGGTAATTGAAGCTACCGACTTGACTTATCTCCTGGACCCCACCCACGGAGTAGTGGTGCACTAACGGATGCTAACCTGCAGGTATAGTTTCCCATTGATTTTATTAAATGATTTGTGTGAGGGCTTAGATGCTGCCTGATGCCAAGACAGAAGCAAGTAGGTGTCCTGAGGGACCACTCTCCAACCTTTTTACTTGAAGTCTGATTCACAAGACAGTGAAGTAGCTTCAGGAGCTGTGTTTCCATAGTTGCAGCTTACCAAAACCAGTTCGGTTGACAAACAAGGTGTTCACCGAGCGTTATTATTACCTTTCACTCCTTCCGTTGCTAGGTATTCTGCACTGAAATAATTCTTATAATGATGTACTGTGATTGAACATATATACTGTGGATGACATCTGATTGTTATTCACATTAGTCTAAAATAATTTGTGATTATTCTTGTCTTCAATAAAAGAATGGTAGTCAGTCGCCTAATTGATAGGTCAGTAAGCACGTATGTTTTTGTAATGACGTTATGTGAATGATATCATGAAAGTTCTGGTTAATTATTTCGACGTCTAATGAAATATATAATCTTTCTAATATTCATGTCTTTATTCAGTTATTGTGAATAATTATCGCATATATACATTTATTCATAATACAAGCATGCTACCACTCTTTTGTTTTGTACAGGCGAAGATGGAAAGATAGAATTTGTCTATGTACCCTCCCATTTATATCATATTTTATTTGAACTGCTAAAAGTAAGTTTGAGTCTTCTTAGCTTTCTTTGTTTTGATAAGTAACCATAAAAAAATACATGGTGCTTAATGTATTATCGTTGATATGTCAGTTTCTAATATGGACATTTTGACGATAATTTAAGATTAAAATAATAATCAGCAGTCGAATCCAGGATTTGCATCTTGTCCTGTTTGGAACCCATCAGTCGAGTGTACATCCATCCTCAATAAATCATAGTGTTTCCAGTGAGGCTCCAACTCAACACCCATCATATATTGTATTAATAGTGCTAATGCTTTGTCTTCTTTCGAAGATAACATATACCCTACTCCTTTTCTCATGGTGAGTGAAAATCATAGAAGTTATAATTATTCTGTGGGCTATGTAACGTTAGTTACTAACGCTTTAACCTTTAAAAATCTGGTTGCCGAAAGCTGTACTGATGAGGGCTATCTCCATTACTGGGTAGACACTGTTTGGAACTGTACCGGCGCATATGCCTGAAAACTGTTTGAAATTTTAATCAATATGCATAGTACTTGCAGGTGCTGGTGAAATAATTATATAGAATTGGATTAATCTTCGAATATATGATGCCTAATTAATTATTTATTAGTGGATACAATGGCACTTTTTATTATATTTAATTTACACTGTGATAACCACAGAAAGTTGATGTGAAGGTAAGTTTTGTCACGTAGACAACTAAAGACCATGACTTCTATTCCTGATGGTGCCGTTTGTGTACACTGCTAGAGTGTGTTAAAGTAAGAGGATGAAACAACTGTACAATGTTTCATTTTTTCCCTCTAAATGATTTCATTTACTGACGAACTCAATCTTAAAAAGAATTGAATATACCCTTCATTTTGTTTAGATAATTATCTTTACAATATAAATTTGTCGAGTTATCCTTCCTTCCTAATTTTAGGTAATGTCTAAGGTAAATGGGAAGCTGAAAGTCAGACATAACTTTTAGCTTCCAAGTAAATCAACAGGTAGTGACAATTCCCTAATTATCTGTTAATAATATTCTCTATTATCATTCTATTAGGTTAATAGCTCATATCAGAAGTCGTAACTGAACTACTATTGGAATAAATAATCGTCTATAAAAAATGAAGTGACATAAACATTTTTATTTATTTAGAATTACTATTCGCTATGTTTGTTCATTTACCTCCTGCACAGAATGCTATGCGTGCAGTAGTCGAACATCATAGTAAAGATGATTCCCTTCCGCCTGTTGAAGTATTGGTATCAACTGGACGAGAAAATGTGACAATTAAAGTAAGAGCGATTCAGAATACTTTGTGTTTTAACTTGTGTATTTCAATTTTATAAGAATATGTTTTCTAAACAATTTGCTCATGTTTTGGTACTGTTGATAGGATTTCATGTTATCCTACATGTATTATGAGCAATAAATTGTACTCGAAACACAATCAGTAAATAAATAAATTGTGTGACTTTATCAAAATAAATTTTATCCATAATGGAATTATATTCTACCACAGTACCCAAGTTTTATCCTTATATGATTAAATACAGCATTAGTGTTTTCAATCAAATAAAATCAATAGTATATATATATATATATATATATATATATATATATATATATATATATATATATATATATATAATATTTCAAAAGTATCAGTAGGAGGAAATATGCACCAGTGAAACATTAAATTGATAAATTAAAAGAAGCAAGACGGAAATATTACCCTTGCATAAGAAAAGTACTCACACCGGTCAATATACACATTTTCACAGCTTTGTTCCTCTCCAGTATAAAAGAAATTTGATAAAGTCCTTAAGCTATAGCATCAGAGCTGTTTTTTTCAGAAAATGCAATTGAAGACGAACTTAAGGTTGTATACGACACGGTAATTGAAAACAGCTACCCTGAAAAATTCATCACTAAACACATGATCGAGAAAGCAGAAAAGAATTCTTCTGTATCTGTTAATATGAAACCTCTATATATACGACTACAATTCAAAGGTGGTACAGATCCAATTGAAGTAATAACCAACAAGTTGAAAAGGTCGATTCAGAGAACGTTCAATACAGGTAAGCTGTAAGTTATATTTTTCACAGAAGCGGTTGTTATTCCGGAACTGGTAGATGAAGTGCCTACGCTGACCACCTCTAATTGTATCTATCAATTCAACTGCTCCTGTAGAGATAGTTATATTGGCCGTTGCTCTAGAAACCTAATATTTCGTGCTCCGGAACACCTAACAGTGTGGTTAAACCAAGGTGTTGTTAAAACTGTCAACAGTTCTATATTGGACTACCTTGTCCAAAATGGGCCACAAAGCTACCATTGAAGAGTCTTCCTCTATCATTCATCAGGCGTACCGAATAAATTACCGGAGACCCCTTGATACCGGACACTCCAAACAACACAGATCATTACAATTTGCTTAAATCAACCGGGGCTCTGTGTGCAAAGGAGACAGGTTCAGACACTATTGCTACCTTGACCTGCTCTTGAGCCTATAAATTCATAAGTTGTGTGTTGCTTCTTTTAATTTATCTGATATTTAGTTTAGTGTTATATTCATGCATATTATCTCTCTTACTGATAATGCTATATTTAACCATATTTCTTTAATTATTACTATCATATAAATGTAGAACCTGATGATCAATTTGTCGAAAAGGATATTCTTTGTTCATTGATTAGTCTTTGAAATTATCAATCGCTTCTCTAATCAATTAAATTTTGACTGGGTAGTTGAGAGTGTCGTGCAAAAAATCACGTGCCTCTTGCAAAGCTTGGATTTCCTAATTCGTTCTTTGTATTTGACTAACATCATAATCAACTAAGTGATTAGTATCAGCCCAATTCTTCTTCAGGATTATGGGTATCTTTGTGTTTAGTGAGTATTTGTGACAGGTAGTCGTAGAAAGGAAATGGAGTGTTATAAAGTTCGCATAATCGGATGTACTGTTAAAGCACTGTTGTAACGCTTACTGACAACGCTTAATACAAGCCAGTCATAATTCCTGAAATAATAACCTCTTTTTTATGGACAGTATTTATAAAATGTAGAGAGTTTTCAGAGGAGTTTATTCCATGATATTTTCCCTTCGTACAATACCTTCAAGTAAACTATTAATTGACAGTATATCTTGTGATACAATGGTCTCTGAGCTGAAGCACAAACCATTGTTCAAATTTATTCAGTTCACATTGCTACATTCAAACAAGTTATTTATTTATTTTACTATGAAACATCTTATTTCCCATCTAATTGTATTTTATTCATGACACTAGTATTATTTCCAAATGTACTTTATTTTATGTTGATTTGATTCAAATGTCTAATCGATTTTTACCCATGCATATAAATGAAACAAGAAAGTTGTGTGAGTAGTGCCTTGATATAATTATGAGCAGCAATAATTTGTGCTTGAAACGTGGTCATCAGTAAATATTCCTGTATAACACTGTGTGATTTTATCTAAATAAAATTTTATCCACAGTGGAGTTATACTCTACCACAGTTCCCAAGTCTTATCCTTATATAAACAATAGATCACTTCTTAAAATTAAAACCTTAAAAAATATTGTATTTTAGTTTATTACAGAAAGTCACGAAAATTTTGTGAATTTAGTCTGTGTTAAATGAACATTCCACCTAGTTGTATGCGTGTCTCCTTAACACAACATACATCCATGGCTTCAAATTCCAGAGTTCGTACTAGTGGTACCTTTTTTCCGATTTGGCTGAGGGCCCTGACGTTGAGTCCTCCTATATAAAGTTAGCGATGTGGCTTTAAGAAGCTTTAGGCGTTGTTTCTATGGCTCTCGTCGTTATTTGTGGTCACAGAGTCAAGTGAAAATGACTCACTAGCCTGAAGAATAGTACTAACTGCGGTAAGGGAGTAAGATGATGAAGGCAATGTGAGCTAAGGAGAATGATGCTCGGGGAGGCTTCGTGTGCTTTCGGAAAAGTGTGGGTGGTTGTTACTTCCTGGCTGCTCACATTGTGGAAATTATCTGCAGCACCATCTTACATTTGACGGAGACGAACTTCATGCTAGACGTCTCAATGTTTCTGGTCATGGTGTTCAGAAGACTGCATTTTGTCAGCGTCTTCACAAGTCAGTTCCCATGTCGTTAAAGTTGATTAACTAAAAAAAATAGTGACAGTTGGCATCTCTGATCCACATACTGTTTGTCATTACTTCAGATAGAAACTCCCCATATGCTGTTAGACGGCTACATGAGTTCACGTAGAGTGTGTTGTTTAGTGCGACATACTTTCTCGGCACTTCGATCACGGGCACCTTTTGGTCGACAGAGTCAAATGTCGCCTTCAAGTCAAGAAATATGGTAAGTGTTGCACGCGTGTAAGTATGCCTGTGTCCTGTAGTAGGAGTGGCATATTGGTTTAAGCATTCGACTTATAGCCACTGGGTCCTGGGTTAGAATCCCATCCCACCTACCCCATCCTGCGTAACTGGGTAATACCACCAGACCTCACACAATGAAAATGTGGCTCATAATCTGGTACATGGACTGAGTTCAAAATAAATAAGTAATCACTGATTATAGGGATACTTGATACAAATTAACTATAGGTTTTTAGTTGTCTTACTGCAAAAATTTGCTTGTATTTGCATGGTACAAGTAACATGGACATCATAAGATCGTTAGGTGCAGAAGAAAGTATGTAAGGTCTGTGAGATTGTCGGCTTACACATTTACTAAGATAATTAAAATGATAGAATAGTAATAGCAAGTACATATTCACGCTAGCTAAATCTCTTTAGTGAAATAAAAGGGAAATTTCAATCAAACAGATCAGTAATACTTTCCTTTCATGCAGCCCAACGAATTACAAGGTGTGAAGTAAATATTCCACATGAGCAGTCATACAATCTAAAATGCTTATCGGTAGATCCAATATATTACTTAAACATTAACAATTAAATATCAATATAAATAAAAGCGAAACAGTTTTCATTCATATACTGAGCTTTAGATGTTACAACTAATTTATAATGATATATGTATTGATTATATTTTCAAAAGTACATTATTACCTTGGTTTTGTTTTATTCCATTACTGCTGTAGTAATTTATACCCAAAAGGCCATTTCGCTAAGTTCTAAGCTTTTATTACTTGTCTATTTTTTTCTGTAGTTGTTTTGGTAATGTATTGTCCATCATGAATCATTCTACAGTTTATTGAAAAATTTTCAATACTCCATAATTTAGTGGTAGATGAAAAAATGCATGAGATAAGAAATTATTTACAACCTGTGATTCTGACTACCTAGTCGTTAAGTTTTACGTGAACCTTGGTTTGCTTCTCTTTACACATGATGGATAGTATTCAAGAAGACTTGGCTAATTGTCCTAATGATGACACTGTATATTAGGGTGAAACTTAGAAATCCGTACAGAAGTCGCGGAACTTGATAACTTACGAAATATATATAACATAGTGCAGAATAAAAAATGAAGATATTATCATTATTGTTATTGTAATAATACTCACCTTCTTACGATGGGTAGCAAATTGTACATTTAAAAAAGAACATGAATGAATTTTCTGGGCTTAAATACTAATGAGTTGGAAAACTGCATTTACTTTGAAAGATCGATTGGTGCCCACTGCAAGTGGTTTTTCTCTGTATAACGTTTCCCATCCAGAAGATCTGAAGTATTCATTGGGTCGTGCAGAAAGTGAAAAAAATTCAAAGAAAATTTTCTCTTTCGGTGAAGTAATCTTCAAAGGTTGCACAGTCGTATTTATATTTACGTCAAGACGTAAAGTAGTTTGTCATCGATTATCCGACATGGTCGTCCAAAGGAAAATGCAATACAACTGCTAGCTCAATTTCCGAGCGCCTGATGCACTCAAACCACGTATCTCCACTAGAGTCATCTTTCCAAATTATCTACATGGTATAGCACAGTGTTAGGCTTCGCTTTTATAGTCGACATATTCAACACAAAATTGTAAAAAAGGATCACTGAAGAGAACAACAACTAAAACCTCATTGCAATGTATACACACTAATGACATATTTAATGTTGTACAGTAGATAATTACATGGTTGCTGACGTTATTCAGACCCTTAAAAAGATTCACTCAGAAGCTCATTTATGAAGCAGAAAATGAAGACCACTTGTTGTTTTTTGCGCTCTGATGTAGAGGGGAATATGTAGTAGCGTTAAGCGTAGCATTTTTCTTCATGAATTGATATATATATATATATATATATATATATATATATATATATATATATGAAGTCACTTAGTATTCTTGTTTGTCGACAAAGTTTGATTCATAATTTGGTGTTTCAAGCTAGATGCTTTCGCACAGTCGATACTTTGAATGGTGAAATAAGTACAGATGGACGAGAAATGTAAAGTAGTTTATTACTGAGCAATAGAAGGTATAACATAACTGACACAATTATTCAGATGTGATTTCTGAAGATAGAAAATTATGTAACACAGTAGAAGTAAGGATATGGGATCTGACAAGGTGAAAATTGTTATTAGATGAAAGGTGAGGCATTTGAGTGTCTACTTGATAAGTGTTAAAGTAGGGGAACAACTAAGTAAATTGTAGAAAAGGAACATGTAAGAGTGATAATAGTAAGTTAATTACGAAAAATACAGACAAACGAGCAAGAAACCGGACAAACCTTTTCTGTACTAAGTAATATAGACGAATTGGTAGAGCCCCGGCTATACACAAGTGGCGAAGCCTAACACTGTGCTATACCATGTAGATAATTTGGAAAGATGACTCTAGTGGAGATACGTGGTTTGAGTGCATCAGGCGCTCGGAAATTGAGCTAGCAGTTGTATCGCATTTTCCTCTGGACAACCATGTCGGATACCTCGGCAGCGAGAAGGATGGGAGAAATCTTTTCTGTATACAGAGTTCAGGGTTTTCCTTATGTGCGGAAACAGCTTACTTTCTAGACAGATGTAGCCGAAAACCCTTTGAATCGCTTGAATTTACCTCATATCTTTTTGAATGACTTATGTGTTGATAGAAAGTGATGTGTTCAAACAAGTTGATCAACAATTGAGTTATTAGCTTATCTGATTTCATCCACAATGGAAGATTTTTGTGTACACGTCTAAACAGTGTCCAACAGTTACGGTCTGTGTACCTTCACAGGATAAAGTAAACTTATATGTGAACATGGTTGTTGTCAAAGGTGAAGCATTATCGTCGACACTTACAAATGAGAATCCGTGGAGAAGGTGGAACCTATGGATACAACGAAGAATGTTTTGTGAACTGCTCTTGATTATCTGGTGCGTAAAATTTTAACTGTCGTTTCACCCTTAAGTTTCAAATTCATAACTAATGTTCTGGTACTCCTATTTTTCGTGGATTACCGATCTTACTTTTCATATATTTATTGGGGAATACCAATGGATAAGCACTCTAAATCAGTGTTTCAGAAGGACCCCGGTTTTGTATTCGATGAATTCCCCGTACATATGCGACAGATTCTGGTATGTAGAGATTGAATAAGGTTACTTTTTGCACTTACTGCGACAAAATGACATAGTACTGACTGATTAAGGTGAATAGTTGTCTACTACTTATATCAACCAGTAGTCTTAGATAACTACTCATCTCAATCAGTCAGTAGTGTGTAGTTTTATTCAAATATGCTTGCCTTCTTGACCAGCAGTTATTGCATCAAGTCTATCACACATCTGAACAATTTAGTTTTTTAAGGAAATTTCACCCTCGAACTGTGTACATTGCAAATCGCTAACTGATTGGTGAATTTGATTTATTGGAACAAAACCGTAAAATTTGGTTAGCTGTCCATTCCATTTTGGTTTGCGTTAAGTTGATTTTTCAAATGATCCTCCAATTGTCCTTGAGAGAATAACCTCTTCCTGAATCAAATTCTAGAGTAGAAACAATTGATCGGTGAGTATTACTAAATACTCCGAGGATTTTATTTAAACATATTTGTTGATAATGACCAAAATATCATCCATGTATCCATTATAAACGTTCAACTGATTTATAGCCGATTATTGAGTACTAAGATCCCAGGTATGCCATGAAGCAGTCAGTAAGTAATGAACAAGCGAGGTGCCCTTTGTCTGCTGCGGCTTTCTATCAATATCTTCCACCATTAAGTAAGAATGGAACATTCAGTGTTTATGTTTTTTTTTGTGTAAAATAAGGAATAGTAATTCATGTATTATTGTGTTAATACTAGATTTCAGATATGGGTGGTGGTATACCGAGATCTGAAATTGACTTGGTTTTCAACTACACCTACACAACTGCTCGACAAAGTAAACGTGGTGTACCGAGTCCGTCAACAGAATTCTGGTCATCAGGCCAAGAAACCAACGCTCCAATGGCAGGCTATGGTTATGGCCTTCCACTTAGTCGTTTATACGCCAAATATTTCAATGGCGATCTTATATTGGCCAGTGTAGAAGGTTATGGAACTGATGCAATTGTATATCTTAAAAGTAATGCCGCTGAAGCAGATGAATTGCTGCCTGTATTCAATCGAACATCTGCAAAGCAATATGGGAGTGTAGGTATCCCAGTTGCTGATTGGTCTAACCCTAATATAACAACCGGTTGGCGGAGAAATTAAAATGCACTCTACTTTATATATTACTCAACATTCTACTATCAAGTTATGTTTTTATCCGCATTTCTCTCCTATTAAATCCTGTCATTTGTTCACCCGTGCTGTTTTTTCCTTATTTTCATACGATTTTATTATACTCTGTAGTTTTCCGACTTAATACAGCTGAAGTTATGATTTCATAATATCCATAAGTTTCAAAGATAACTGAATCGTTTTACGCTTACATTTTTAACACGTCAAAATATTTCTGTGTTCTAAGGAAATAACACAAGTCAACCTCTTTTTTCATCCATCACTAAGATGTAGTTCATCTTTACACATCTCAAACTGCAAGTTATATCTTGTTCATAATTGTTTGTGTGTGTGTGTGTGTGCGTTTCATGCAGATATTTCCTTTTTATTTCACTGCATTTGGTTTCCAGTTGTTGTTTCTTCTCTACAAGTAAGAAAGGAAATTACAGTTGAGAAGTAGGTAAGCTAAGAATATATTCTTTATTGTTAAACACTTACGGTTCTTAGAAGCTATTCACCTAACTCTTCATAATCTGATATTTTAATGAAAATGATAATATTTTTCATTTTCATATCATTGTGTCATTGTTGTTATTGTAATTAGTGTAAAATGTTTTCTCTTTTGTTATTTGTTAACTGTATGTGATCAAAGTTAGTTCTGCGAACTTTTGATTCATAGATAAATAATAGTTTTTATTCAACAAACACAACTGAACTTCTTCAGTCATAGCTATTTTCGACATTCATCGTATACTTTTTGATATACATGCATATGTAATAATTTTATTTATACATCTGAGCGATTAAAAAAGTTAAGTGAAAATTCTCCCTATGTGGATTATTTTCATATTGATAATGCATTCTCAATGCTTCTTTAAAATATAAACAGTTATCACGAAAGTCATTCTTTGCTACTTTTGCTTTTTTAGTTTATTTATGAAAATTCCACAATGTGTGCGTTAAATCCAGGTGAAATTTGCACAAACTGACACTAATGAAGAAAAATACAGTCATTAGTAGGGGACATAATAGTTGAACTAAAAGAAAATATATCAGTCTTCAAGTATTGGTTTGTAGGGATTTGACTGCTTGGTTACAGGATTCTATCATGATCTGACATTGGTTAAAGAACCATTGGAAAACCTGCAGGAAGTACTGAACAGCTGTTCCGTCTTAGTTTGGGACGAGTTTGTAACTAGAAGGTCTTGGGTTCGAACCCTGTCGGGGTGTGCTTACTGTTGAGGAATTCCAAACCAGTACGAAACAGCTGTCCTGTACTTCCTGCCGGTTTTCCAGTGGTTCTCCAAATGATGTCAGTTCATGATGAAATCCTGTAACTATATCAGTCTTCAGGTGGCAGTTTCTTATACTCTCTGTCTGTGAGAGAGACCGGTAAATGCTAGCCATGATATATGTAAGTGAAAAAGATAATGACTGGTCTACTGAAACTAATGGCCATCAGGAAAATAGGCTCGAGAAATAGAGTACTGATCGTGATGCCACCGCTGTGCGTCGGTGGTTAGGGCTCTCGCTGACCCTGTAAATGGTCCGAAGTTCGATCCCCTGCTGACGCACAGCCAATATCAATGGTCGACCTGCAAAATTTGGGCTACTGATATCACATGCTAAAAATTCCATACTTGTACCAAAAACACGGTGTGGAATCAAGTTATAATCAAAAAATAATAATTTAGTTAGATTTGTGAGAAATATTTATTAGATACTTTTTAACAAATTTGAAGAGCTCTGTAAGTCGAAAATGTGTTACCTTATGGTTACCTTATTATCATATTTCTCTGATAAACATTCCCTCATGAGGGACAGATTTTAATCCTGTTTAAAACCAAACATGAAGTTACTTGAATGAATAAAACTTCTCTCGTTAGTACATAACAAACAGATGAATTTGATAAATATACTCTTGGTCACCTTCACTAGTTTAAATTATTTGTTCTGGTTGGATTCAGGTTGTCTTTACCTTCAAGTTGTGTCTGTTCGCATTATGATTAACCATGTGTATTAACCTATATATAAATCACCTGGTCTGCTGGTTCTAAGCCCAGAAATAAAGCGAAGGTTTGGTGTGGGGCTATTGAACCTACCCCAGTAAATCAACTCAGTCGCTACAGAAACTTCAGTGCACAGAAGAAATACCAACATTATATATATATATATATAATTTGACCATGAGTCGTATTATATCCTTCGTACGCTACTTAAATCCAATAGGTGGAATGTTTCTTCAATTTCCTGCTATACAGTGTAATTTAATACATGGATAAGCTGTGTTAATCTTTCACATCAGTGGAATATTCAAGTAATGAGAGTATTTTTGAAGCACTGCACAAAGTTTAATTTGGTTAATTCCGGCTGCCAAATTTGTTCACAAACTAGTAACCAAATCGATATGTGTCAATATGAAGGTCATTTTATTTCAATATCATATCTTTCCATCATAGAGTAAATTTATTTGATAAGATCACACAGTAATATGGAGTATTATTTACTGATGACGTGTTCGAGCATAATTAGTTGCTCATAATCATACCATGACACTAACGACGAAGCACGAAACCTAGGTCCAAGGCTTCCTGCTAGTTGCCTCCAACCATCTAATATCAGACGAAAACTCACAGTGTACCGTTGTGGTGAGAGCAGGCTGCTAGCCGATTGGCTGGCACTAATCTACGTTAAGGTCTAGGTCACTAATATGGGCCGTGAGAAAATATGAACAGGCCTGAGTCAACAACCAATCACAGCAAAGTTAACGTGGCAAAATATGATTCGCAGAGAGAACTCTATTTGTCAAGGAATCCCGAAACAACCAATCAGAAGCCTGCGTTTGTCTACCTAAACAACCAATCAGATGACTGCGCTTGTCTATAATAATGTAGTTGAAAGATGTATAAATACGCGTTGATTTTCATAATAAAACGATCTGTTGCCTGGCCCTTGTCTTCTGTTGTTACATTTGGTGTCGCTGCCTACCGACAAATGAAAAGCCTATACCCTGCAGTTTTTGATGGAGACATATGGATCTTCGGGCAGGACTTCAAGGCTTCTGCGCAGTTGAGTGGCGTTCAAAATCTGTCAGCGATGGAGCTGCTACTTGAGACGCTGCTGGGAGGTCGGGCGAAAGCAGCATATGAAGGTGTCGGCCGAAGTATGGACGAATGTTCGACAGGGTCAGGCAAACAGTTTCCAAAGTGGGAAGGACCATATATGGTCACTTCGAGATGGGGTTACGCAGACACAGTCGCAATGGCGAACAATAAGAGGCGCGTGAACGTCAGCGAGCTCCAGAAATGGATACAGCGAGACAAGCCAACGATGACGCCTGCACCAAGTGGATCAAGCCGACTTCAGTCGCACGTATTTGACGGGGGGACGAGTGTGGTGAGAGCAGGCTGCTAGCCGATTGGCTGGCACTAATCTACGTTAAGGTCTAGGTCACTAATATGGGCCGTGAGAAAATATGAACAGGCCTGAGTCAACAACCAATCACAGCAAAGTTAACGTGGCAAAATATGATTCGCAGAGAGAACTCTATTTGTCAAGGAATCCCGAAACAACCAATCAGAAGCCTGCGTTTGTCTACCTAAACAACCAATCAGATGACTGCGCTTGTCTATAATAATGTAGTTGAAAGATGTATAAATACGCGTTGATTTTCATAATAAAACGATCTGTTGCCTGGCCCTTGTCTTCTGTTGTTACACCGTGATGGTGAGCTACCTAGTATGACGGCCACACTCCACTGATCTTGACAAATCTATATTAAGCACTCAAGTATTGGTTTGTAGGGATTTGGTTGATTGACTCTCTAACCAATGCCAGCTCATGATGAAATCCTGTAACCTATATTAAGCAACTTGAAAATCCCCATTGAGTCAGAAAGGGCGTTCGGCAGAGTTACTCTTTTCGGCGATATAATTATTGTTATCTAGAAAGCATCAGTGTTGTTAATGGCCGTTATTCTAGAATATTTTACATATATGTCTATTATTATTATTTTATTCCTTCCCATTCCCAGGGAAACATAGGGCTTCAAGCTACAGCTTTAAAGTCTCGGTAGCAGTGGTTTTGTTTTTACGGGATGGAATTGCTAGTCTCACTCCCAACCTTCCATCTATTCCTGGACTATTACCAGCTAAGCGAGTTTTGGGAATGCTTCGGCCGGGAATCGAACCCCGAACCATCTGAGTGCCTGACGAGCATCCTACCTGTGTGCCACCGACGCATATATATATATATATATATATATATATATATATATATGTATATATGGTTATAGAGTTCAGAAGAAATTGTAGAAGTTTTCAACCAAACTTCAATAAAATATGATGTAATTCGTTAGGTTTTTATGTCTAAGGTTGCATATAGGAGCGTGAAAAGCAGTTGTAACAGTTTTCCTGTTTAAATATTTCTCTACACCGATCATCACACTGTTTTTCAGTGTTGTTACTGAAAATAGTAATAGTGATAATAATTACTGCAACTAAATCCACAATTTATGTCCAACTAATTATCTTCATCTTAATGAACAGGTTTGGTTGAAATCTAATATTTATATTTGATGTTATATATAACAAAGTGAAGCTTGGATAGATTCAATTAAAACG